ACTTTTCATTGTCAGCACATTATCATCTTTCTCTCGATCACGAATACACAATAAATAAATATTCATTCATTCAATTATCACGCAACTATAATTTCACAAAAAATAATTATACTAGCAACAATTGCAACCATTAATTCTGGTAAGAATCTTAGAACAGTTAAGAAAAGGATTAACGTAGAAACATAAACTTTGATTTGAACAATTAATATATGGATTGTATATGATTTATATAAATATAAATTAATAATGCAATAATTTAATTATATGAAACATATGTATACATGTACACAGATTTCCTTTTCTTTAACTATTCTCATGTACAAAATGCACATTTACTTCGTATCGTGTTTGTAAGATTAAATTCTGTCGATTGCTTAATTTTTTTGTTCCAGTTGTGACACCTTTCACATTTCACATATCTGAAATATAGTTATATATATATATATCTTTAGAATTACATACAATCAATTGTCCTAAATATATCTTTCAAAACGATACTTTTCATATTTAAGTTGAATTACTCAATTGTTTCAATGATCTGATCAATGTCTTAATGTGTTTTACATATTTTTGCGCTATCTTATCATAGTACAGCTTTTTCATTGAGATCAGCAATATACCTTTTTTACTTTCATTAACTTCACGTGACATACGAGAATACTATCGTAGATTTATAAAACGTTTAAAAAGTGAACGTAATTCGCTATTATTTTCTTTTCGTTATGAGCTATGTCGTTGATATTATATGAATATCAAAAAACAATAGAACAGCTAAATTCGATATTATAACACTGGTTATATTTGAAATTGAGTTCAATATCATAGTGTATAATGTGTTGATCGTTCTTTGTCGTGTTGTTTTTTCATTTTTCATTTACGCCTTGATTTTATAAAGAGTCGATATGAAAAAACTAACTAATGATTGACTACATTATAAAAATCAAAAGAGGTGACTCAGCCGATGTACAGAGCATTTTAATTTAAACTCCGTTCTTTAGAGCGATTCTTAGTAATTCAATGACTTTAACGCGTATAGCACAACATTTTCCATATTGTGTTATTTTACAGTCGATGACATGACGGGGGGTGAAAGATACATGATCCTCCTACGCAAACGTTATATAATTAGTAAATATTGTCACTTGGACAAAAGTGGTGCCAGCCACTTCTACATCACAACCAAGGAATCTAAAATCGACACCTTTAGTTTTTCCATGCATTCAATTTCATTCTTCGACTTTTCCTTTCATTAACAAAAAAAAAAAAAAAAAAAGAAAAAAAAAGAAAAAAAAAAAGAAAAAAAAAAAGAAAAAAAAAAAAAAAAGAAAACAAGAAATTAAACACAGAAGCAGGTACTCTAAGAGTTAATCATGTATCGTATGATATCGATACAGATTTGATCACAAAATGAGACAAAGGATAACGATAGTAACGCTAGTACGCGTCATCAGAATGCCCGAAGTATATTGAAAAAAAAAAATATCATATTGTTTTTTCTATACATATATGGATTTTTATAACTGGTACTAGTTGTTATCCTATTATCGACATAAATTTACGTAATCTATATAAAATATACAAATCCTTAATATACTACGTGAAAACTATGGCTTTTCGTATTTTAATTTAAAAAACTAGTCAATCAACATATGACAAAAGCAACATTTGTTTTCTTTTCTTTTCTTTTTTTAATGTAATCATTTCTAGAAATTAAAAATTATCGTTGTTCAAAGTACCATTCGCCCCCTGCCATCAATATTTCTTCGTTTCTTTTCTTTCTATGCTTAATCAATATTTGTTAATGTACAAATTAGTTAATTTACTTCACATTAATATAAATGCGTAATTTCACGTAAAATTTTCATTATATACGTGTTTATATTAATGTAGAATGAATCGACTAATTTTACGTATATGAATTCTGTTCCACATACTTATTTGCGCAAGGGGCACTATTTATAATATTTACAAAAATTAAGAGACTAACATATACATATGTATACAGTGTACACGTATATACACGTATACGATAACGCATGACAGACACAATATATAACGTATAAACAATACTCTTTCCTTCCGTTTGTTTGCACTTACATACATTCAACAACTGATTTAGCAAGCCATAACAATACTAAAGTAAATAAACATTGCAAGGCATAACACATACGTGTACGAGCATTACTGTCAAATTAGAAGATTAACAATAGATTCGATGAAATTAATTTGCAGTATATATAGGTATATGTACGTATATACACAAATATATAAATATATATAATGATAGCATCTGGTCCAATGAATATTAAGTATTCATGTAAATAACCAATCATTTCTTACATATATACATATTAGATATTAGATTTCTAACATAACAAAAGATGACTCAACGTTGATTATTGTCGATGTTCATTACGTCGCAGGCTATAATCTATGCATTAGCAACCATTTTGTGTCATATTATTCTCTATTTGAGAATAAACTCACGACACAATGAACGTAGGAATTGTCTGCAAATGTCGAGACAAATAATCGAACAAGCGTAATAGAACGAAGGAGATAAATCTATATAATCTCAATCGGTACAGAACCTCTTATAGCGCCTCAACAACGAAACATGCATATATAATAATACTAGTACTCCGCAAACGACTGAAGATGCATCATAAATACCGCGACTGGAAAAACACGGTAATTTTGCGCATATATGAAACTTGTACATAATATTCTTCAATTCTATATATATATATAGAAGAGAGTCGTTAAATGGCAGTAGGGAATCAAGTATGCTGATACGTTGTAGTGCCAAGTTCTGTCTTCTGTTCAAGCACCGGCAAATCCATACACTTCTAGTACCCTAATCTCAAAATCGCCGCTGGCACAGAGAGGTGGATTATTAAATGTAGAGCACCGATCTGTTTTTCCGAATCTTATATTTTCATCCATCCATATTGCTTGACCATCTCTAAACAAATAAAATAATTTTTAATATAAATAAATAATATAAATATATATAAATACACAGTATTTATAAATTTACTATTATATATATAATATATAATTTTGGAAATGAAGAATTGTTTTTTATTTTTACAAAAATATTTATTTTTTTTTTTAAGAAAATAAGAATTATAATGTATCTATTAATGTATCTAATGGATTTATTTGTTTTTCATAAAAATATATTCTAGTTTTTGTATATCATAGATTTTATACATTTACACATATTACATATTTCATATCATTAACAAAATCTTACCCTCCGCCAATTGTTATCATTTTGGAATCTGCTGCCATAAATAATTCAGCTGAATGATGAACTTTAGGATCATTGTGCGAAGAATCCATACCCACCCAAGGATATTTTGCTCGTTCAGGATATAAACTAAATAAGAAAGTTTCACCCGTTCCAAAATAAGCTTGTCTTTGTCCTTTATCATTTTTCATATTACGTTCACACCATCTCGTGGAACAATACGCACCAAATACCTTAAATAAAAAAGCAATGAAAAAAATGAGTATTAAATATTGTTTCAAATGAAAACAAAAAAAAAATTTTTTAAAAAAACTTACTTCATTATTGCATGTTTTTATCATCAATAAGGTTGGTTCATGTTGCTCTACTCTTACATAAAATGTTGTCAAAGAACAACCATGCTCTTCTGTTGTATACAATAGAATTGGTTGATACATAGTGATCCGCATAGGCAACCAAGACCATAACGTGAATAACTGTCACAAATTAAAGAAACAAAAAATTAATATAATATTAATATTATATATAATCGATATTTGTAAACATGTGCAAACATTAGTTTTCAATAATTTTCTAATTGTTCATAAATACAACAAACTAAGTCACAGCAGCGGTAGATCATGCGCTTGACTGAAAAAAAAAATTAATAAAATAGAAAATTATAAAGCCAAATAATATAAAAAAAATGATATTTATTTTTTTCATACTCTTTTATATAAATATTTATTTTATAAATTATATTAAATTTTTTAATAATTATCTTATAACATAATTATTTTTTTAAAAATCATAATCTAAAAACAGCAATTATTGTAGTAAAAAAAACTATCAAAAAATCAAATTAAAAAAAAGAAATATTTAGGAAAGTAAATATGCTTATACAAGATGCAAAAACATCATGCAAAAGGTAATATCATTCAAATATAAAAGTGAATTGTTACAATATTATAAATTGTGATTTTAAATGAATTGAAATTGTGAAATGATTATTTGATGAAGCAATGCAAATGGCATGATAAGAGTTTAATAATTAAAAATGTACATATGACTATATATATTTTTGAAGATTGAAACCATTAAAAATCATAACTATGAGTTTGTTACATTTATTATTCCTTTTGAATATTAGTTAAATAAAAAAATATTTAATATATCTATGAATATAAAAAGAATGTAATAATACTAATTAATAAAAATTGAAGAGGGAAAATTTTAAAGATACCAAAAATGCATGAAAATAAAACAGGAGAAACACATGCCGAATTAGCAAAGAAACTGAGTATATAATTTATCAAAAAGGAATATGAGAAAGCACTAGTTTAATCAATATAAATCAGACTATACATTATTTAATTCAATGTGTATACTCTATAAGAACATTAAACCTCAAGCAAAAAGAGAAATACAACGAGAAGTGATAACAAAATCATGACTATAAAAGCCGACTTAATCTATAATTATCAATTAATACTTAATATTGTGAACGTGAATGGCAATTAAATGTCATTTATATCAATATATTTGGCCTTTTCTTTTTAAATTTTATTAGAAGATCTGTTAAACTACCATCGTTCAATCAATATATGTTGCATACTTAAGCTAGTATCTTTTTGATAGTAGCCAAAGATAATAATACCATATAAATTAACGTCCTATATAATATATACTTGAAGGCGGCTATATACACCAATAACGACAATATTGACATGCCACAGAAAGGCGACCAACGAACTACAGAAAACTCTGTTACTGTTGAACTTTTTGTTCTTTTTTTGGATTAGTTTTGAACCGTAGTTTTGGCCATAAGTACTTACATCAGGCATGTCTAGAATCTGGGAGCATATGCTTTGTATGGGATAAACGCCCATTGACAGAGCACGCGGTCCAGGACTGTGTGCACCCTACACCCATGATCATTAAATCCATCATCATTCCAGTAACGCAGCATGACACAAGATAACATAGAACCGTCAGTTATATTGGAGTACAGCATTGGCTGAACTTTGCATATCAGAAAATGAGAATAAATATTATACGAAACACTGGTTAAAACCATCGGAGACATAGAGCATAACAAGAAACATCGGCCATATTTTCGAGTTTCTCTTCTAATATCACACAAAATGTAGAATATATGAATGAAATGCTCAAGAGTCATTGTTAACCAGTATAACCAATATAATGATCTCAAAAATAAAAATTAAACGATGTAATCAATATACTACTAAAGCATTAAAAATAATTAGTATATAAAATTAAAATGTTCGGTTTGAACATTTGCTATTTGGTTTTTCCATATAATTATAACAATCAAATTGTGATTTGAACTGCAAATAGACTGAAATTTATAAAGCACGCTGCTGCATTCACTGATCGATTATAACTGATGTTGCGATTTCAAGCAATTTTAACAGCTTTTTTTTTTATTCTTTTGCCTTAAAAGATAAGTTTGATTATCCTATCAATCAATGATAACAAACACATTGGTGTAGCTCACCAGTAACAGTCATAAATTGATTATAAATTGATTTCTCAATGTTTTTCATAAAACATATACGTAAAGAATAAACGTTTTCGACAGAATGTACACACACATATATATGTATATTTTATATATATATATATATGTACGTATAAAATTCTTATATTATTACATTTGGCATGTCATATATGCGAAACATTGAAAGCTAGAGAAGACCTAATAAGAAGAAGATATAAATTTTATTGGAAGAAATCTTTGTTATTTTCTAATGTTCAAAAAAGGCAATAACTGCAAGTGGATAGACGCTAACAGCAACAAAGCTGGCACGATAAGTGTAACAATAGTGAGTATGAATGAATGTAACAGGTATAGTTCAGGAACAGAGGGCAGAGCACATGAAACTAACAACACATTTCCCAAAAAGATAATTATACAATACCCTGTCTTTGTATGTGTCTTCACACTCTTTCTGAAAACAAAGTGAATCATTGAACAGCTTTTGCATAATTTTGCATTCTAATACCCTAAGAAATTATTTGCTTAATCCATCATCTTTGTCTACTTATATTATTTTACAGTAAAAAACATTAATCACATTAACTGTTGATACTAAACCTTTAAACCTGCAAGTTTCTTATAAATAAAGAATCATTCGCAACATTTAAAGATAAAAATAATGGGCTCACATATATGCATTGTCTTATATAATTTTATATTTTGAAAATAAGTGAGAGAATCAACATTATTAAAATATCAATATTGAATTATGATTATATATGATTATATATTATAATGATTATTATCATTAATTAGATATAAGAATCCAAAAAAAAGGAACAATCATATAGAATTAAATAAAATCTTATAAAGCATATACATGATTCCATACTTTGTTGGAAAAAATTTGTCAAATATTTGGTTTTTGGACTGTTTTGAAAAAAAAAAGAATACAGATAACATACTTCTCGTATCGTGAGCGTGTGTGACATCATCTGAATATTGACTTGAGACTGACTCGTCGGCAGATTGTCTGTGGATCGTGATCTTGCCAATGATCTGGATCCCGTTAAAACACTTTTACTTTTTAGAGCCATTTCTGTGCGCAAAAATACTCTTGATATGTATGCTGAACTGAGTCCACGTATTCCAAATGCGGTACGTAAAAATTTAGCTGACGTTACCTAAAAATTTACAAAGCATATTATATCATTTTATATTTATTATATAAATGAGCTATCAAAAGAGCTATAATTATTAATTTAATCGATTTTTTGGATGATTTTAATAATGCATCAACAACCTTGCTAAAGATTTTATATAATTATACTTACTGGTATTTGCCTGCAGAATTTTGAAAGTGCAGCATCAATTCCATTTTTCGAAATTTCGTTCATCCATTCAGAATTTTGCAACGATGAATGTTTATAGAATAATAAAACTATTGCCATTGCTACTCGATAGAATACCTAAAACAAATACAGATTTAACATGATAGAAACTGCACTTATAATTTATAGATATGTATTAATTTTTATGTATCATACATTAAGAAGAATCAACGTATAAAAATGCACGCATCTGATTTTTCACTGGCATATAGTCAACATTAGCATTTATCATTCATACTATTCTTGGAAAAGTATTCCATATTATACATATCTTTAACTTTTTCCTTGTTTTGAATCAATGCCAATAATACTTTTTTAACGTGTCGTGAAAAGATGCGATAAAAGAAAACATAAATGTTTCAAGTTGATCCCACTCGAATTTTGTAAATACCTTAATGCCTTCATGAAGAAAACAATCCATAACCCTGACTAGATGTTGGAAAGGAAGAAGTTGTAGAATCCACCACATCCAATCCATATAAATTCTCTCTGCTCTTGATCCAGAACAGTGCCTCGCTAAATGTACCGCTGCCGATTTCTTGAATGAAAAATTATAATTATACATATTCTTCCATAAGGAATGCGTAGAGTTATTGAATTTAATTATTATATTAATTAATTAATATTCTACAAGATTTTTGCGTTTTTTTTTATATATTCAACATACAATTTTATGTATAATTTAAATTCACGTTACTTTATGTAACGTTTCTTAATTAGTCTTATAGCTTTTTATAATTGGTTCTTTTATTATATTCAGATTATTAATCATTAGAAAATTCACGGTTCACTTCCAAGCATTAAGAAACATCTATACAAATTCCGTTCTAACCTGTTTAATTTAAAAATAATTTGCATTTATAGATAGCTACAACATCATCATCAAAACAGCATTTTTAAAGGGAAGCAGAGGACTTCAGCTGCAATTTCTTGGTAAACATTATCTATGTGTAAAATGTAGATCATTTCATGCCAAACAAATTAGAATGATCAAAACGTGATTCATCTTGAACAATTTGAATTGTCTAACATTACATACCACATGCTTCTTCGTAATTTGTTCCACAGTTTTCCAGGTAACTTCGTAAAGGAGCTTCGTTTGTGTGATGAACATCTTATCTTTAGCGGCAACCAAACTGGCCATACAATGATAACACTCCTCCTCTGCAACAGATGGATGGAAAACGGTAATCTCGTGAACATTTCTGATTTCAAACTATTAATAAAACTGGGATTCTATCCAACCGCGTGCCTAACATCTTAATTTATGCGAACAGACAAGAAATTCGATTTACAGCACGCGATGTGAATTTCTATTGTGCTAGTGGAACAAATGGAAGAAAAATCTTGTTGAAAAATCCTTCTTCTATCTTATATCGTGAACCCTGAGCAATGGATATTCATTTTATTTATAATACTTCACTTACCTGGCATAAAGTGAAGAAGAAGAGCCGTGATGGGATAAAGAGAAGGACTGTAGGTAATATCGGGACAAGCGTATCCCAGCACAGATACAACCCTGTCCGCAACGCACCTGCCTTTTCTCGTCAGGTGGTACGACAGGCAATGAGTACTGTCCACGAATGGTGGTAACATGATTGATTTTTCCGGCAGTTCTGTAAACAAGCAATTCCATGTATCAATCGCCACTGATAAAAACAAGTAAGGTAGTCAAAAATAGGTGGAGGAACATTTGGTCTTAATAAGTTCCGATGACAACTTGTCGACATCTGATATTTGATAATTTGAAAGGTTTAGGTAATATATCATAATATGATTTAATATTGTATAAGATACTACGTAAGGCAGAAGATTATATGATTTTCAATAATTTAAGAAGATCGATAAGTTGTTGTCTATGAAGCTTATAGCTTGAAAATTCCAGATATATCCTGATGATATATATTGAATATTGCGTAAATAATAATTTATATAATTTAGAAAAAATTAATAATTAAATTTTTATTATCTGCTTTTAAATTAATTTTTAAATATTATTATATAAAACTATTGTATTTTAGAATTATATCTAAATATTATTGATAATTTTTTGTTTAAAAAAGGATCGAAATTAAATTAGATTGTATTAAATATTTTGAAAACGAATTATATTAAGAAATATATAAATATATAAATAAATATCAGTAGATTCATCTGATATTAATTTTCACTGTTAACGCAGTAAACCACCAGCAAAAAATAACTTTCAAGAGTTTTACTCTCAAATGGATTCGTAACCTAACAGAGTAGAGTTAAAGTAATCTATTTTAAGCATTTTAAGCGTCGTATTTGACTGCCTATAGTAGTTGAATTTCTTGTTTATTGATCATTTTTCACACCAACCGGATGAAGGTGTTACATATCATCTTTTTCTAACAATAAATACAAATCAATGTGAAATACAATTGGAATATACGAACTTTCTAGTTCGCGTATTATGATTCATAAAATAAATATAAATTTATAATTAGCATGGAATAATTAAAATAATGCTCTTATAAAATATATTGGCACTGTTTAATCTAAATAAAAAATAAAAAAGATATATACATGCAAATGTATGAATTATTTGTATCTATATCTTTAATCATCTTTTAAATTAATACTGCTATATGTCATCACATCTTGTAAAAACCTATACATTATAACGTGTAATAATAACTGTTGCAGTCAATCAAGATTCTATAAATATTGGTGACCGTTAAGAAACAAGCAATAGCGTGAAAAGTAAATGGATGAAAACTGGCTTTAGATCACAGAAATACACTCTGTATTTACATTATGAACAGGAGGTTTAATGTACAGCTGCGATATGTAGGACATTTTGAACATTTGTATTTTTGTCTTTCATATTTTTTCTAGCCAAAGAAAAATTATAATCTATATTTCATTATATAAAGAAAATAAATTTTAAAATAACCTTTTTTCCGATAAAAAATAATATAATTTAATCAATTATTAAATTATTAAATCAGTAGCCTTTTTCCTATTCCTAATTTTATTTACTAGAAAATTGTAAAGGCAAGCAATTTTGATACATTCGTAAGATAATTATGATCTAGTTTTTACAGCAAAAATTCTAAATTGACTTAACCCTCAAATGGTAGGGTTAAATATTATGTAACCGATAAGATCTGGTTAAAGAAACATATGGTTTATCTAATGAAAACATGCAACTGTACTTGAATTTATGTTAAGTTAATTTATTATAAAATAGTAGGCTGCATGACAATTACACAAATTTATTCAATAATAAATGTTATAATAATTCAGGAAGTTTATTGCGTTGTATCATTTAATAATATATTTTAGTTAAGCAAAGAAGAAAAAGCGATAAATCATTCTATTTAGATAAAATGTTAGGTAAGAATAAAAATATTTATTTATACATTTAATTTAATGGACAAGAAAGAAGATTTTTCTATCTGAAACATAATAATTTTTGCAATGACAAAATTTTAGCCAAAAAATATTCTCGTTGTACGACAAATATATTTCACATATAAAGACGCTAATAATACATATCTATACAGATTTCAGTTCGTTATTATTAGAATAGCAAATATTTTATATATAACTTCATAACTCTAAATTAAAGAAACATCAATTTCTTGTAAATTTTTAACTACAACATATCACACATATATATATATATATATATAATTTTACGCAATATATTAGTGTTAATTGATAATATAAATATGTAATGTCAATTCAAAAACAAACCTGTAGTTCCAAACACTTGATTGACCATGTCCCAATAGAATCCATCAAGCATGTTCTTCCCATGTGCGTGTTGCTGACAAAGGGCTGGCCACAATTGCGTCCTGATCCCGTTGTTCAATGGCCACGCATTTTCCCTTATGATCAACTTAGCCTCCCTTTTCCTGCCGGCCTGGAGGAGCGCGTTGACCTCGTTGAAGGTCTTCAGCGCCTGCTTCTTGCTGGTGGGCGACTCCGGTTGTATGATGATGTTCGTCGCGTCAACGTGTGGCGGGAAAGCATCGTCAACATCGACATCCGCCTCCTCCTCGAGTACCGGCAGCATATTCGGCAGATTGTCCGTCGAGGAGGGTGTCTGTGTGACTAACATTGCAAGCGGCGACTACGGCGCGAGATTCTTCATGATGCCGTTCCCCGTATGTTTTATATTAATATTTATGTCATGTCCTGTGATGTTTCTATTTTCATCTGAAATTAAGAAAAAAAAAAAAAAAAAAAAAATAAGAAATGTAGAATTATATTACAGTAGGGAAAAGATAAAATATTTATTAATTTAATTTACAATTTCTAGTTATTGAATTAAAACACCGGTTAAATTTTCTTTAGTCTTCTTATTGAAAAATAAATTTTTTCAATAAAGTTATTTTCTTGTTTTCTCTCTTCAATTTTATAGGCAGATATATGATATAAATTATTTTTTATTACTTATTATTTTATTTACTCTTTTTATTATTATCATATTATTATTTTACTTTATATTTATTAATTTATTAATATTAACTTTTATTACTTTTTATTTCAGTTCATTAAATTACATAACATAGGAATCTCTCGATCGATTCACACGAGATGTGAAGAAGTTATCGTAAAAAACAAGGTTAGAATTTATTGACATTAAAAATATCAGTGCCTTTATTTGATTTTTTATTTTTTTTTTTTTGTTTTTAAAAGTAATCATTAAACAATATTATAAAGAGAAAAATATATTAATAATTAATGCGATGAAAGCAAATAAGAGGAAGTAAAAAAAAAAAAAGAATATATATGTATAAATAATGTTATTAAATATTAAATAGATTTTTTGCAATATAATTATTTTAAATACTAAAGAAGCTTACAATCAATATTGAATTACATGTAATGATTAATAATTTAAATAAATATAAGTAAATAGATATTTATGATAAAAATTTTGGTTGATATTATTATTTAATTATTATTTATATAATTATATTTGTTGATTAAATTTTATATTATGAATATAATTCTATTTACTTCAAGAAGAAGCCAAATACGTCATACATATTTTACTACACTCATATATAAAAATACTATGTTTTGATATCTATTTTTAAATTGTTATTGAAGGTGGAAAATTTTTAGTATGAATATTGTTGTGTATATATTTTTATAATTAATATAGTTATAAATATATAAAACTTTAATTAATTCACAATTAATTCAAACAATTTCTATTAAATTTGTATTACAAATTATTACACTTTTTATTTTTTTTACTTTTTACTTTTTACTTTTCACAAATTACAACTTATCGATTATATAATTCCTTTGATCAATATTTCAAGTACAATAATACCGTATTCAAATTAATTTAGTCTAATCTTGGTGTTGCACACACTGCTATACCGACGAATTCAGAGTGATAAGCCAGCGTGTATGAACACATAAGTTGGCGTAAACACAGAATGTTTGTTCCCTTTGCTAGATGGCACTGTACAGATAATCGAACATTCGATTGAACAATATTCCACTGCATCATAAACGTGGTTCTTGAACTTGCCTCCTACGCACGATATAATTATCCACAATGAAATATCATTAAATAAAAAAAAAAAAAAAAAAAAGAAAAGAAAAATTCATAGTATCAAAAGCACAAAATCATTTTTATCCAAGATTCAAAAATAATGAACATGTATATCTTTTATTACAAGAGTACTAACGATTTTGTAATCTTATTAAATTGTATAACTTTCCAATCATTTGTATTATTTCAGAAAAATTATTTTTCCATGATTAAAGTTCAAGACTGAACGACGACAAAATATATTTCCAAAAATCTTCCGTAAACATTCCCATAATAATCATGACCGTAGTTAAACGTCATCATCGCTTAGGTCGCGATGTACTTATACGATGTTCAAACGAAGAGGGGAAAAAAAAAAAAAGAAAGAGAAGCGAATTATCTGAGCCAATGCATCCTTCGTGTTACCATATGCAATATACTTTTCGTTGACGTCGATTTATCGCGATGCGTCGGTTACTTTGCAACCGAAATCAATTGTCTTCTGTAAAGATGCCAATATCAACAAGACTTGCAACCAAGTGTCACTTCTCATGTGTCCAAACGATGGAAATCATTTGCACGGAACTTTTTATTTAATTATTCATGATATAATAAATTAAAAAAAAAAAAATACCACAGATAATAAGAAATAAATGTATGTCCTTCTAAGAATCTTAAAAGAAAGAATATCTATTATATTTTAAGAAATATATTATAAGATACATTGAAAATTATATTATTTAAAACTGATAATAAGTTAAAATTCCGGCAACATATATGATATCAACTTTCTGTCAAATGTTAACCTGTTATCCTGCATATAATGCATATAGAATGTGAATCGAATGGTGCTAGTTAAAAAGCATGGTGGTAAAGTTCTCTTTATGCGGGGAAAAGAGTGTCGATCAGACAATGACCTCGATAACGACATGTTTCTAAAGGAGTAAGCCAGCAGGAGACAATGGATATATAATATCGCCTATAATTAGCCTCGTTAAAGCTGTCTCTAATAATAAGCAAAGCAGCCAGATGCAAAACCGTGAGCTACGATAATCTGTCTTGGTATACTTAATAGTTATTAATAAAATGCGCGAGTTATCTTGCATCCATAAACATGTTTAATTCTTATCAATACAGCATGTGCGATTTGAGAATATTACTGTACACAATCCGCAGAGAGACTGCTCGGCAGATAAAGCCTTTTATGACGATGCTCATTATGCCTGGAGGCTGAACAGCAAACGGAATTCCCTTATCAGGCGTGTTTAATCCTTTACATACAGTATATAGAATTAACCGTAAACCGTAAACAAATTATTAATGATAAACAAATGTTAAAAAATTCAAATAAAGTAAAATTTATGTGTTTGAAAAACGCTTTAAGAATTATTTTGTTTGCAACGTAGTAAGATATATTTTATACAATGTATGTCTGCGGAAAGATTCTTATATCCGTCAATTATTTCACGCTACGTTGTAACAAAAATATCATTTTTCTAAGAATAACAAATCATTATATTGCTTACACTTTAATGAAAATCTATTATCGTTCAAATGATAATTAAACATTTGTTTATCAATTTAAATTATAAAGAACAGTGAAATTGCAAGATTTCAACGGTAAAAAAAGAAAATTCCCGATTAATACTGGTCGATAATTAATAATAACGAGACGGTGTATGAAAATGTGTTGTATAAAACCAGGCATCTATTATTATCATTATTCGATATAACGCACGAAGAAAATTGCTGTAGCGATAAGAATATCATATAATTTACATAAAATTCATACAATGTATTCGACGATCGGATTCCTATTTCACGGGATGAACACCACGCGAGTGCAAAGACTGGAGACTCGCGGTTGCCGCGGCAGATAAATATTATTGCAACTCTGAAACGCTCGAACCACTTGATAGTATAAATATATCTCATTGGAGACGAGGGCAAACACGCGAACGCGCCAACGTTGCATTGTTGAATACGCTAAGCAAACAAGATCGAGCCTACAGCCGTGGTAACTGACAAATTTGCATAATTCCATTAACTCATGATACGAGGTGTTCGCTTCGTAATTCAACGTGCGTCTTTCAGATGGAATCTCGCTTTCGATTCTGATGATGATCGCTGCCGAGTACAACAATTATTGCACGGTACAATTGCCAACGCTATTCCGAGTATTTAATTAGACTATGCAGCCTGTTGTTACTCGATGACACATCTCCATTGGATTTCTCTGCACGGATTCTTGTGGATTTCTGTTTGTCAAGTGACTAATACATACAAATCGGAATAATAATGAAAGGCGTACGATAAAGTAATGAACGATTGCATGCTTTTTCTCTATAAGTATATATAGTACAATCTTTTTTTTAAATCTTTATATATATATTTTTTTTTAATTTATAAATTCAAAGAATACACGCATACTTACAAAAATTTGAAATCATATCTTAAAGATTCATATCTTGTAATAATCTTACCTAATCTCTAATTTTATTTATTATATCAATAAAAATAATCTTTCAATGACATCTAATTTTAGATATATATAAATTTGTGTCTATGTAATATAATGAATGCATCCCTATTAACCAGAGCTTGTGTAAGCAAAAACATTGTTGTATAATTTCAGCTTATTTTTGCAAGGAATACTGCTACTATTAGTTTCTCAAACAAATAAAGCGTTCTTAGCCATACTTATACGTACACTATGAGTTATCTGTAATGAGTAAATGGTATTATAGTAAGAATTTTTATTGTTTTTATTATAATTATATATTATGAAAAGATAATTTGTAAAAATTTTTCAAAAAATAATCCAATCTTATTGATTCCATTATTTAATTATTAAAAAGCTTAAAAGAATCTGTAAATGTGATATTTATAATAAATGTCTATAATATTTGAATAATCTGCATAAATACAGAATTAAAAAAAAAAAAAATAAAACAATTCCAATGTTTATTGCTAATCTTGCCAATATTTATGTTCAATCATATATTCTGTTATCTATTATTAATATAAGTATTGTTCAACTCGTTAAATTATACCTAACCATATCTTATTAGTTATTCCTTTATTTACATAGAAAAACGTTATTATACTAAAGTTAATTAATTTGTTTCACACATTTATTTTACATATTTTAAATATCAATTTGATACAATGATTAATAGGAAAAAAAATAATTTTTGAAAAATAAGTAACGTGACATTTTCTCTGTAAATAAGATATAAGTAACCATACCCTCTCGATGAGCCAATCGTTTTTCTTTGAGAAAGTCGAGTCCAAATAAGTAGATATATCATATAATTGATCGAAAGATGATTTAAGTGAGATAGATAAGAAAGAACGCAATTCTGTCATTTATAAGAAGAATTGCGCATTATTACTCTATTCGATCTTGTCTCTTATCGCGAAAGAATTATCATAAGATCAGCCGACTAATTTCTAGATAATTCTTAATGTTAAATTCATTGAAATATCTTTCTGTTCCAGAATGAATTATATATGAATGAAACCAATTTAGAATGAAACTCGCTAAAGATTTAAAAATTTTTATGAAAATAGCGATGTAATTTAACAGGATTTCCATCTGATTTAAGATTAAATGGCTTAAATGCAGTATTCATTGGATATTATCATTGTAAAATAACTCAATGACGTTGAACACGAGGCAATGAGGAACTATCATGGAAAATTAATGATAACCGGTTTCAGAAGAAGGTCGAGATGATCAACCTGAGAAATATCAATTATCCTCGAATTTTTCGTTAAATCCCTCTCCCCTTTTTAATAAAATCATATTGTTATCTTGTATATACTTTTATACTTCACGATAATGATAATTTTATTCAACAATAATAAGATATCATCTTGTCCCTCGATATTATATGGACACGTTATATATAAAGTTCTTCTTGCGTTGTTTGCTGAAAAAAAATCGCTACGATTTCATAATCGGGTAACGACTAATAACGACAAGAAAAACCAGAGATCGTAATCAAATTTTTTAAAAGAGAATAATTTTTTTTATGAATTTTAATCAATCTATCAATTTAAAATTAAGTTTTATTATTAAAAAGGTTAATTCATATACTTTATCTTTGTTTTTCGTTACAAATATAAATGTAATCAGTGAAATTTTATTCGAATAAAGGAAAAAATTCTTTTATAAAGAATATTCTATTTGATTGAGGAATTATTTATATATCTTTCCGTATATATTAATCAAATAACGAATTCAACGTATATTATTGATTCAAATCTGGAAATAGTAAATGTATACTAAAATACAAATAAGTATATGTAATTCATAAACACATTTACACATGTATATAAACAATTTTACATTTATATATAACGAAAAGATATATTCGATCAGAAAATTTTTTAATACAATTAAATACAGTGATATTTTATCATAATTTTTTTTTTTTTTAAATAAAAACAAGATGTTACAAGAAATAATAAGTATGACAGATAAGTGAAATTATTGCATAATAATGGCAGAGAATTCAAAAAAACAAACGACCGGTGGTTAAGCTAGTCTGGCTAGAGAAATTTTGCGATTGCAAGCGAGTGCCAAATATGCGTACGCGACTCGCTAATATCATCGTGCAGCCTTGATTCCAACGATCCACCGGAGTTATCATTTTATTCCCCTTCGGGATTCACTGCATAATTCATTAGCTCGCCAAACGTATGATCTCTTCGATGATCAAGTAGATATTGCGATAAACATTTTTTTCCGCGAACTGGAATACGCGTCAGGAAATTGGCATCGATTGATTCTACAATTTCTGACCTAGAAAAGAAAATCGATAGGTTCAACAATGGAAAAGTGCTATAATATTTTTTTTTGCATTTTCAATTTTATGAACGAGATATGAAGTAGGTAATCTATCCGATCACAATTTTCTTAATAAATTGATGGAAAGATATTTTAAGAACGAAATGTTAAAATAAAAAAAAAAAAAAAATAAGAATTGTTACGTAAAACAGTCGAGAAATAATAGAAATTCTAAGGCTAAACATTACACGATCAGTTTCAAAGCAGACATAGGTTAATTAGCATAAGGTTAATCTCATTATGCCTGCGCGTTATTATAATGTGCAGTGTGTCTTATGCGTTTGGCCGATAACATGTAGCAGACATCGTTGCTCAGAAATAATTCTCTAATTGCCAATTTTCTAGAATCTTTGCGATTGTCGGCTACAATACTTCGTTGAACGGAATGTGCAATTACTTCATTAGCGCTTGATTAACGAATAATTCGTTATTACTCGTGAATTTTTTGCCAGAGCTTTCTATGAGATCTACGAACAATTTATGAACATTTAAAGACGTTTTTTTTTTTTTATTCAATCTGGTAACATTAATTATTGTTGATACTGTAAAAAAAAAATTTAATTTGCCAAGAGTAATTAATTGCCAATTATTTTTTTCGATAATTAAATATAACGGCCATTAACAAGAGTTGAGAAGTAATAATAATAATAATAATAATAATAATTTGAAATATAAAAAATCCTTATAAATAATTGATTTTATCTGAAGATTATCCAAACAATTCTAAAACAAAAAATACTAAATAATAATAACAATTGTAATTTGTAATCGTTAACAAATCGAAACTTGAAAATGATTTATTGTGAAACGACGATAATATGAGATATTAGTTAGTTTGTCTTCATTCTGTCTTCGTAATCTTACGTTATCATGTTACAATAAGTCACTGAACTCACCTTTGAGATTATTGTCACTTGTCATGATATTAAAGAAAATGAGAAGTCAAACAAGATGGATGCCAACATAAAAATAATAACCAACAAACTTCAAATCCCTAGAAGTAACTTAATTACGAAGAAAAACAAAATTCCTCTCATAAAATATTCTATAATAATATAATATTCACATTAGAAAATTTTTATTGTATTTTTTTGAATATCTGTCAAAATATATATATATATATATTTCTCTTCCTTTCCTGTTGCATCAGATTGATCAACGCGGTGCACGCACCGAGGAATTTCTTCTCTACTTCAACTTTGTTATGATGGAATTACACGCTGATCTTATGACTGTGTAAAAAAACAAACGCACACGGTAGCGTGAAACTAATATCGATATCTCCCGCAAAGATGATATAGATACTTCTCGTTGTTTAAAATTTTAGGTAGTTTCATTCGCATCATCGCTAGAGGGCAGTCATCAGCTAATTAAAAGTGATTACAAGTCAGCAGTGGACAGATATGCATTACATTTATCCAGAATGAGTTAGCACTAAACGTGCTATAATGTTCGACGCATTGAAATAATCGATTTATATCGAAAGGAAGATTTTTTTCTTCAGTTCGAGACAGAAATAAAAAACATTATCGAAACATTATCGGTATAGATGCAACCAAATCGAATAGAAAGAAATATCCCTATTTTCGATCGTGGCTTAATAGTAAAAATCATAGAAATTTTTTTACGATAGAACGTATAAATTATCTCGACTTATGTTATTTGATTTCTATTTAAAAAGAATAATATTTATCCAGTATTTATATCTTATATTAAAAAAAAAAAAATGAATATTTTCAATGTTCAAATATAAATTACGTTGGTAACTTGTATGAATCACTATGTACAAACATATCGCATGAATTTTCATCGAGAGAAATTATATCGATTAATGGGATTGAATCGAATGCGAATCGACAGTAAAAGAACAAAGGAACGATTAGAAGACATTGATTTATTGAGTTATAGTGATAAATGAAAATCGTCGAACAAAATAAATGGATCGAGTTTATCGACGTCTCGAAACTGGAGCTCGAAATCTTTTCCTTTAGCGCGATAGGAACGCATCAGAAGACTTGTTCTCAATGGCATCGGTCCAAATCACATGATACCAGGTGCGCACGCTATATCCAAGTATTTTTTTTTCCTTGTCTCATACGACATCGCGCTATTTTAATGAGATGTATCCGTCTATTATAAGTATTGTAGTTATTTTCACGCTTTTTACATGTTGTCCATGTACTATATAATTGCACTTACTGAGAATTATTATATTTTTGGATATAGAATGAAATGTAAGGAAGATAAACGCTTTTCGAAGATTTTCTTATTTAAATCTTTTCATTTGAATTTTATTTTTGTTTAACTATTTTTATACCATCCTTATCATTAATTATTAATGTCTAATTCTAATATTATTATATTACTCATTATATTCTAATTATATTCTATTTTTATTGTAATTATAAAGTATCATAATTTACTTATACATATATATATATATATATATATATATATATATATATATATA